CTTAAGACTCGGAATATATGTATGAGATCTTACAAGCAGGTCTGTGGTTCGGTTCATGGTTCGTGCCAATGCCTCAGCTCGAAGATCGGTTTGTGAATCTGGTTTTCCATATCTGTGAAACTTGGCCCTCGCATTTCTTACAATATTCAATGGTATGTATTGGGAAAATTTGGTTCAGTTTCTTGCACAAAAATTGAAACTTCGGGCATAAAACGGTTTGATTCAAAGATCGCTTAGCACTGAATCCACAAAGTCGCATAATTTGATGCTGCTCGAGGCAACCAGTTGGACAAACGGCGAGCATGTCCAAAATGGTATATATCCCCATATACCTATGTACAGTCCAATAGTAGGGCCGCTGTGTATACACTTTGGGCTCAAATATGCCCCAAGCATATAACGCCCATAAGATCTGGATCAACATTGAAGAATGTATAAATTAGGAAGAATAAACCAAATACTTTGGCAATATTATTACACAGATACTTTCTGGGAAACGTGTCCATCATAATTTTGTCTGAATAGATTCTTCTAGCTATCGCATCCGGCCAATCACTTCACACTTGTTTCTATGCGTCGTTTTCATCCCTCACTCGGCAATTATTTATACCATTCCCATGGAAACACGAACAAGTATTAATGTTTTAATTAAATGTAACAGCCTCGACGGCAGTTGCCTAGGTTTCTACTAATCAGAGCAAACCCACGAATGTATCTTGGGTTAGGTCCATATCAGGTTCATTGGGCAAATCGATGAAAAAGCAATTCACTCGACACAAAATCATTTGGGTATTTATAGACAATTGTGCATCTGGCCGAATCATCAATCATCATCCAATCATTATGGCAGCTAGCAAATTAGCAACAGTCGCAGCCGCAGCAGCCATCGAAGCCGAACAACAAGCTATTGGCCCATTGTTCGGTTCGGATTCCAAATTAAAATTAATTGGCAGTCATACACAATCCACACACAGCTTGATGGTTACAAACAACAAAGGGCAATGATAAGAACAATCGCATGTTTAATAATCGCATTAAATTACGCAACGTGTGGCATAGAACGATCAAAATCCTAGAACGACCCACGGGGCGTATGCGCAACGCCTGCAGCCCACGATTGCGCCCAGAAGGGGTCAAGTGAGAGCCCACAGAAAATCATCAGCAACTACGCCCACGCCCCATCCCGCCCACAACACCTCTATAGAGCTTCCGCTGCCGAGCAAGCTAACATTTTCTTCGGCCCCAAACAAAATACAAGCAAGTAGAGTGCTCTAGTCGAGTGTGCTCGACCTAGCGATACCCTGCACCCAACGTTAAGAGCATTCGAGTTTCTCTCTATACACACTTATGCTGCTGCTCTGCTTCTTCTTCACCTGACTGCGCACTTTGCAAAAGGCAAAACCCAAGTTTTGAAGCTAATTTTTTATTAGTTTCCTCGCGAATTGTTGAGATATCCGATATATTGGATAAATGGGAACCAACACGGTAAGTTTAGTGCATCGAATAGATCTTTGTTGTTGTTTTCGAGTTGAGCTTCAGAATGCATGTCGATATTATGAAAATGGAAGGAAATATCGATAGAATATATTATAAACGGTATGCGGGAATATGTATTTACAATTTCAAGCCTCCAGCTTTTGAAAAACGATGCGTTCTCACAGAAGGATGGACTGCTCGTCGGTCTGCTCCAGAACGTGAATATATATACTATATGGCTTGCTTTCATCTATCTGTCACATACTTTGGCACAATAACAACATACCCCATTCCCCCAATTTGAATGGAATCAGAGATGCATGACACATAAACGGAATGTGAGAAATTCTCTCAATTCTGACACATCGAAGATTGCATGCTCTCACTTAGAGCACAAAAAGACACACACACCTATGCACATATGCACATGGATTCTAGATAAATTCTAGACTAAGTTTTTGTATGCAGCGTGATATTCGTGTGACAAATACTCTGGCTTGAGGAATTCAATATCATTTGACTTGACTTGACTTTTCTCGACTTGATTTGATTTGATTTGAGTTCAGTTTTACCTTGGCCACAAGTTGGGGGCGCTGTGTTGTGCGGTGGCAATAAGTGAGTATATTTTATATATTTGTAGCAGCCGACAAGGCGCTGACTGATATGCAGCAACAATAACAATAACAATAACAATAATAAAAATAAAAATAACAGAAACACAAAACATCTCTAGACATTGTTTGCTTGTTTATAAAAACGAACTTTTTATTGCCACAAAGTGGCAGGCGACAAGCCAGAAACGTGGTACGCCACGCACAGCAGCATGTGGCTTTTGGGTAGGTGGCGGTGGCGAGGGCGTGGACGTGGGCGGGGGCGGGGGGGCGGTGTCGGATTCGCTACTCTGTGTGTGACTGTGCCGTGTGTATTGTTGTTGCTTTCAGTTGTTGTGGCAAGCATACAGGAAACTTTTACTTACAGCAATGCCGAATTTCGAATGCATTTCTTTTTTGTACACTGCAAATTGAATTGACAAGCTAAAAGGTTCGATGCGCTGCCATTGGAATAGTTTTGAGTTCTCTCTGAAATGCCCTGCATATTATTATTAACACTTTATTCATATAAGCACTTCATATAACAGTTTGCTTCAATATATATAATTAGTTCTTGAATTGTTGAATTACATAGAAACCTAAATATATATTCATGTATGCTTGCCTCTATATGCGAGTGTGTGTGTGTGTGTGTGTGTGTGTGTGTTGTTTACTGAATTGATGCATAATTTATCTAATTTTGAAATTGATTGTTAATGTTTTCGCCCCAGCCCACAGGCCTTAGACTGCCTTGCCGCCCCATTGCCAGCATTTCCTGTAGACAGTCGCTTCGTTTGCTTGTTTCGCTCGGAAGTGTTTGTGACTTTTATGATTTGGCTTGTCTTTGATTTGATTAAACCTCAAAGCGACACACGGACACACATGTGTGTCCATGTGTGTGTGTGAGTATGTGCACACATTGCTGGCAACCTGATTGGCATTGCCAGGGACAGGCAGCTCGGTTCCCAATGAATGAACCCAATGAATGGCCAAACCATTTTCCCGTCGCAATGCAATTTTCCAGCAACGCCGAATGCCAGCTTTTTTGGTTTCGCCCTTTTACTCTGCTTTATACTCATTTTGGACTTTCTTGCTTTTCCGTTTTCAGCTTTTCTATCAATGCAATTGATTTGCTTCAACATGGAATGCTTCTGGATTCACAAATTAACTTGTTTACTTTGCAGCGATGTCATTCGGTAGCGTTTTTTACAGCTTTTTTTTATACAGTTATGCGAGATATCTTAAACTGGGTCAACATATTAAATGTGAATAGACATCGCTTTTGAGCCAATTATGCATATTTCCAGGCATTTTACACATTTAAGGCTGGTATTTTTTCAAACCGATTTTGGACTGATTTCGAATATAGCATTATTTACTAATAGCATTTGATAGAGTATGCTAGCTCGTGTTGTAAGCCTCAACATAGCAGCTCTTAAATAGTCTAAAGTCAGTTTCAGTTTTGAGCCAATGCATATCGACTCTTACTCAATATGAGAAGCAAGACTTAAGACATTTGAAAAACATTTTAAAATTAATTAATAATCTTTGTCTTTGAGTCCATAAAGTATATAGATAATTTCCCGGATAGCTGGGCATCAGAAATAGTCTTTTGTTATAAAAAGGTATATAAATATCTGCAATAACACATGTGCCAAGTGTCTAAAAGGATTTCTTTAAGTTTATCTGGCGCAGATTCCTAGCCTGACTTCTTATATAACTCAGTTAGAGTCCAAACAGGCTTGTTAGCCTGCTTTGTCCCGTATCCAGGCCGCAAAATAGTGCTCAAAACAATTCTTCATTTAATTTATTACGTATATAATGATATATATTTGTTTTGTGTTATTTATTTTTAAATGAAAACAAATAATGTTTAGATGGAAATAAAATTGTGTACTTATTTTTGTTTTCAATAGCATTAAGCCTGAAAGAGAAATAAAATTTAATACTATTTATACACACGCACGCACACACACACACACACGCACGGACAGAAAGAGGCGCCATCACAAGCGGACTTTTGAGAAAAACACATTAATATTAACGAGCATTTTTATGGCTTTCCAATTGATGGAATGAATAGCTCAAATGCTTCACTGCAACACAATTTCCACTCAACAACACGCCCAACACCCCCCACACACACACACATACACACACACAAATTGCTTCGCAGCTAGAAGTGTAGGCAAATTATTTTAAATATTATAGAATATCAATCAGCAGCATTTTCATGCCGCATCCCAGCTACTTCCACCCCCGCCCGCCCCCCCTGCCAATAAACATAAAGCAACTTACCTAGCTTGTTGTTGTTGTTGTTGTTGTTTTAGTTGTTATTGTCGTCGTTGTTGTTGTTGCTGTTGCTTTTGCTCCCTTGTTGCTTTAGGCGCGTAAAGTTGTTCGCATTTTCTTAGCCGAATTAAATTTGGCTTGTTTGGCGCCGCGTTTCACTTCTTCTTCTACTTGTGGCCGTTGTTGTTGTTGTTGTTGTTGTTGTTGTAATAAACATTGTTCTTGTTGTTGTTCCTTCTGCCTTGTCGCCTCACATGACGCCCGCGCGCGCCTTGCACACGACTTGACCCAACAAAACAAACACTTTAACGCAGTTTTATATTTTTTTTATATATATTTTTTAACTTTTGTCACACACGCGCCTTGTTTTTGTAGTTAATTGTTGTAAACAACAATTGGTTGGTTTTTATTGTTTTTGTTGTTTTTGTTTTTTTTTTTTATTGTTTTTATTGTTGTTGCAGTTGCATTTGCTTTTGGCTATTGGCTGTGGCTTTGCTTTTGCTTTTCTAGCTGTTTATATATTGTTGTTGTTTGGTTTTATTTGTTTTTTCCTTTTGCTGTTGTTGTTGTTTCGGCCTTTTTGTTTGTTTATGTTAATAACTTAAATGCAATTGCTAATTATTTTATGATATGTATAATTAATTGCATTTACTTTCGTAATATATTTGGACTCTATTTCAGTCTATTTGAGCTTCATGTATTATTTATGTGTGTATTTTTTGTATTTTTTGTTTTTAATAATATAATTATTATTATTTAGGTTTATTTAAATAAGTGAATGATTAAATAATCGAGTATTTAATGCATTTCTTGTCCGTTTTGTCTTTAATGTATCAAGTCTTTAGCTGTTAATACTTTATCTTTTTCATATTCTGTCCAATTCTATCAAACTGTTCAATCCCACGAATTTGTGTGCTGTAAAGAGACAAAATTCCAAAATCAATTTAATTTGAAAATGATTTATTATAAATAAATACGCACATCTCAGAGTCAGATGCTTAAACTAAGTAAAAAATGAATTTAACTATTCAGAAAGAAAGCACAACGAGTTTATTCAGAAATAAAATGTTGATCTATGCAAGCTAGATATATTTTAGTGTGAGGTGGTTCGTGCTCAAATTCATTTGCAAGGAATTCTACATTCCTGACAAATTCAGATTGAAGAATGTTTTTAGAGAAGATCGTAATATACAAAATTTCTAACACAAAACTTGACACGGGCAAGGCTGGGTAATACACGCTATAGAGCAAGGAATCAAATTGGGTATTTAGTATTTTGCAATAATACATTTGCGGTCAGTTTTCAGGGTTTTGGTATTTCAATGTGGACTATAAGAAACACTATAAGAAACAGCCAGAAAAAGAAGGAGAGTGTGAGGGAGTGGGAAACGGAGCGAGGGGGAGGGGGTTGTATTGAGTTATGCTGCAATAAATTTCACCACATAAGCCAATAATAACGAAACTTTTGTGTTGCACATTTCGTGCCTTTCTGCCAGGCGCAACCAAGCATGCCACTGCCGCCGACTGCCTACCTGCATCAGAGTGTCCTACTTTTGCAACAAATACAAGTGCAGCAATAAGATTGCCATTTAACAGTGACTCACACACACACAGTCACGAACACATCCACACACACACACACACACACACGCACATAGACAATGAAAATGCGAAAATTGCATACGAAATGTAACGAAAAGAAGAGCCCAAAATTTATCGAGACATGGCAAAAGAGAGAGACATATAGATAGAGAGAGAGAGAAAGAGAGAGAGAGAGAGGAAGGGAGAGAGAGAGGGAATAAAGGAGGCACTTAAATGAGGCAACGGCCACGAGGTAAAACTCTAAGACATGCCTAGTAACTATACGCCTACACACATACACAAACACACACACACACACACACACCTTCGAGAGGTAAGTTGGGGCAAACAGCTTATATGCATAATGAGGCACACCTCGCACATAGGAAGCGAGGGGCCACAATATAGAGCAATACACAAAGCCAGCATTTCCGGGCTGCCTTTCGTTTTCGAGCCAAACTCAAAGACAAAGACAAAGGCAAAGGCAAAGACAAAGCAAAGACGATGACGGTACGATGACGATGCCAATGCCGATGACGATGACGATGACGATGCCGATGACGATGACGAAGTTGTACTCAATGGGAATGTCGGCCAGTATGTTGTTGGCCCCCTTCGGCCAGAGCGACGTCAACGGACGCGCTGTGTATGAAAAGTCATGCCATCCAATGAAACATTGTATAATGCCACACACACACACACACACACACACACACACACGCGAGCACTCACATGCAAATTGCCAAATACTTGGCCTGGCCTTACATAGCTTCGATTTCTCTGGCGGCGCTCAGCAGCCCATTTATCGAACTTTATATATATTATATATACACGTATATATAATTAAATTTAGCTTGACTTGTTCAAACGCTCTGTTAACATTGCAATTTGCATAGACCAAAACACAAGCCCAGTCAATTTGTTAGTATGTTTATATATATATATATGTATAGTACATATATATATATAGTATATATATAGTCTGTGGCAGTCAAAGTTTTGGTAGGCGGTGCTGCAACGACAAACCTGGTCGACATAATTGGGCCTCGGCAAATTTATGAACATTAATTTAAGCGAAACCTACGGAAATAATCACGTTTTGCGGATATAACAGAAAACTAGAAAAATAAAACTCGATAATATTTTTTAAATAATAATAAATAAAAACTATATATGAAAGACTGACTGATTGATAAAACATTAAAAGCTGGGAAGCTGAAATTTTCACTTAAGTTTACATATTTGATGGAGGTGAAAGCTAAGACGGGGTTTTTTGAAAAAATCGTAAAAAACGTTTGTACGTAACTTTTTTGCTTACCATACCAGATCTTTGACAGGTCGCATCATATATCTTATATTTTAAATGCTTTACTAAGAGTGAATTTTGATATAAGAAATTAGCCAAATAATGTTCATTAACCAAAATCAGCATATGATGTTAATTTTATTTATTTGTCAGCTGAAAATTGTCAAAAATGGGACAAACTAAAGGCTGAGCCAGCCGAACACTGGTTCAAGCCGTAAAGGAAAAACCGACAAAGCTAATTCACAAACATTCAAAATATTAAATGCTTTTATAAAAACAAAAATATTGTTGCCATTTTTACTGCACTCCATACAACGTTCAACTAAATAAAACTCTTAAGCTCTAAACTCTTAGCCTATTTGTAAGCAAGATTCCAGAATATTTTCTAATATATGTTTTTTCCCACCAATGACAAAAATAAGACAACAAACGAGTCTTATGAGTTCATTAAATGACAAAAATAAAAATAGGTTGTACTCTTTCAAAAAGGTTCCCGAGTTGCAAATGGACTACAACAACTAGTGCAACTTCGGATGCCAAGCAATTGCAAATATTTGAGAAAAATGTCGAGTGCGCTACGTGGAGAGGGGGGGGGGGGGGGGGAGGCAGGCCTCAGTTACCGGCCCCAATTGGTACTAAATTTATTATGGGTATTATCGGGCACGCCTCTTTGAAGACATGGCAGACTTAACAAGCAGCATACGACTCGGCCAAAGACTCCGCCATATTCGTGTTGCCACACCACGAGAAACAAACATCGCCAGCAACAGCAACAACAACAGCAACAACAACAGCAACAACAGCAACAACAACAGCAATGGCAGCTCGCATGCTTCCATGACTAGACAACTTTTGCCTGACCCCCATCTTCTGGCAGCCCCCGCCACCCAGCTGGCTCTCTAGGCCCGCAACCGGCAAGTGCATAGAATGCACTTTAAGCAAGTTAGCGCCGCGTTATTTAGCGCAGTCGAACAGCTGCACCGCCTTCCCGCGCACAACCCGCAGCACCAAGCAAAGCGTTAACACTTTTCGAAGCATACTTGTGAGGGCTGGGCAAAGCTGAGCGTAGCGCAATGTTGTTGTTGTTGTTGTTTTGTGCAGTTCGATGTGGACGCCGGCGTCGCAGCTGCATCTTATTTTTATTATTTTATTTTTGGTGCATTTCCGATGAGAGAGTGAGAGAGAGGGAGAGAGAGAGTGCATGTAATTGCTATTTAGACAGGCTGCATACAATTATATTTGCCAATATGCAGATGTGTGTGCGTATGTGCGTGTGCTTGTTTGTTTGTGTGTGTGTGTGTGTGTGTGTGTGTTGTCTCTGCCAGATTTGATGGCGATAGCTGCGGCAAGCAAGTTAAGCCCCACTAAAGCACACACAACAACAATAAACACAGACGCACACACAAGCAAAGAGAGAGCATTCACATATTGCAAGTGCATTAAAGAGAGTTTAATGCGCTTTCTCTCTACTCTGTCTCTCTCTCTCTCTCTCTCTCCCCTCTCTCTCTCTGTCTCTTCCTACCCTAGGGCAAGCCAAAGACTATTTAAAGTAGGACAACGGGGCCAAAACAAGCAAACAGCAAAAACAACGACAACAACAACAACAACAACCGAACACCAACACAATGAAAGCATGTGTTGTCGCAGTTAATAAAGGAAGCGGCCTCACTTTTGTTTTAAGCCCGCATTACGCGCAGTTGCCGTTATGTAGCGACTACGCCGAGCATATATTAAACATCAAAAAATGTAAAGCAGCAGCAGCAGCAACAACGAGAACAACGCAACTTTTTAGCGACATGTGATATTTATATTTTTAATCCGTTTTTAAATAAATTAGGACGGACAAAAGCAAAAAAAATAGTTATAAAATTTGCTGAAAAAAAAACCGAATATAGAATGCGCTTGCGAAAAGCTGAAGCTAGCAAATGTTGACTTTGGTCAAGATGAAAAACATACAAGAAGATCATTTTCGATTGATTATGTGACTATATGATATACGACTTAATATATATATATGAACTATACTATATAATAACATGTTCCTACGCTGGACTTAAAACTGAGATACTTTGCCAGATCAGAGATCAACTTGGCTTAACTTGGAAACTGGACGACAAACAGATGGCGTTGGCTTCATCAGCTCGGCTTCTGATATTGATTAGGAACATATATATATACATATAGCCAACACATGACCGAATCGAAATAACCTCTGCAAGAGCATAAAATGTGACAAAACAAAAAAAAAAACCAAAAGCTGATTGCAATTTTTGCAGCTGTTGACCTATCGGAAAATGATATCAATTGAATGCAACATTTTATAATAAATTTGTCATAAAATTTTCCACAATTTTTCTTTCGCCACTCCCATCTATGCATTGTCCAGCTATTGTTATTATTGTTGCTGTAATTATGTGCAGAGAATATTGCACTATTTCACTTTATGATTATGATTTCCTTTCAAAAGCCATGTTTCTTTCCCTCTCGCTCTCACTCGCTCTCTCTCTCTCTCTCTCTCTCGCACTCTCTTTTTTCACATTTAATTTTAAAATTGCATTGAAATTTCACATGTCATGTTCATTTTGTTCTGTTTTTGTAACCCCTGGGACAAGCTTGCATTTTTTTTTTGTTGTAGTTGTTTTTTATGCTTTTACAGGGTGACATAAAAAAAAAACGGTCAGTTTGTTTAAATAAACGTATATATCAATGATTAAATTTAATAAAACTGCATCAGAACGTCATCAATAATTGCACTTTTAGCGAAAAACATAAACAGAATTTGCAGCATGCGAAATATTTCAATTAGAACATTTAACAATTTATGCAAATTGTCTTTAAAATTCTTTTTGAACACTCGAATTTGTCGATTAAACAAATTAAACAAATTATTTCGTTTACTTCTAGAGCATGGAGTCAGCTGGAATTCACGTTGTTTTTGTTTGCAGCTGTGCTTCTATTCTTATATATTCGAATTATGCTTAATAAAACCATGTCGCATAAACGATTTCAAGGAGTTATTTTAAAAATG